TTCCTGTCCAGTAGTCTGTGAATTCACTGGCTGCTTTTAATGACACTTGGCAGAGTGTTAGGGAATTTTAGAACTTTAAGTCCATAAGAAACTATGGAAATTAGTAGTTAGCAGAGAAATTCTCCTAGTGCCCATACTGAAGCTAGTGTGGTGTGTGCTCACCCTTTATTAGATGCCAAAGAATTCATATGGAGAAACATCTCACGACTGTCGCAGTTGTGTGATGTTTGAGCCTTACCAAACACCAGCTTGAGTTAAAGTATGTATTTTGTGCAATATTGAATCTTTTTGGATTATGGGAAACATAATTCAAAGTTTGATAAAATGCGTTTTGTGTTCACTCCTGCTAGTAAGGTTAATTATCAGTATTATTAATGTTTGATAAATTTTTCAAATCCTTTTCAGGCAGCTGTGGTTTGTTGGGATTTTTTCTTTGCATTTAGTTTGCATTTTTTAGCATCTTAAAGACAGAATCACTAAATGGTATGGCTTGGAAGTCACCTCTGGGGATCATCTAGCCCAACACCTCTACTAAAGCAGGCTCATCTAGAGCAGATTGCACAGGAAGGTGTTGAGGCAGGTTTTGAAAGTCTCCAGAGAAGGACACTCCACAGCTTCTCTGGGCTCCCTGTTCCAGTGCTCTGTAACCCTCACAGTAAAGTTTTTCCTTACATGCAGATGGAACTCCCTGTGTTCTAGTTTGTGTCCATTGCACCTTGTCCTGTCACTCAGCGCCACTGAAAAGAGGCTGGCCCCATCCTCTTGACACCTGTCCTTCAGATATGATTTATAAATATGGATAAGATGCCCTCTCAGATGTCATTAAAGACATCTCTTCTGGATCCACCTAGCTCTAGTGATCCAGAACTGGTCCAGCTTCTGTTAGGTTTTTGGCCAGATATATTGGTCTCTGCTGATCTAGTGAAGTGACTGTTAGTACATACATTTCCTGGACTACTCAATAAAAGCTAGATGACTCCTGTAATCACTGGAGATCCTGGCTAGGGGTGATCTAGAAGAACTAGAGAGGGTGAAATCTTTCAAGTCATTCAGTCTTTTTACTCAGATACCATCTTTTCCACTGGGAGTGCCCAAGAGTAATCATGCATCTGTTCTGGACACTGCATTTCCTAAAATTCCAAGCACAGTCCTGCATACATGTTTGCAATGTTTTGAACACCAGATTCTGTGTACCATCTTGCCCATGATCAGTTGTAGTTCAGAGGTGGGCATAGAGATGGTTGTGCTCTAGGATGCTGAAAATGTGTGTTTGCTGTGCCCTGATCAGTCACGTTGGTGGCATTGGATGTAGTTGATTCTACCACTCTGCAGGAAGTTTTGTGGTATAGATACTCTGGCAGGAATTATGTTTTGCTGGGCTTCTAAAAGCTTCTGACCCATCTACCACCTTCGGTGAGTATCTTCAAAAAGACAAACCTGCATTTTGGATCCCAGATCAAGGGAGGTGCCTGCAGTACAGAAGATTTGGAGGCTTAGTGAGAAATACTGTATGATATAGGGCCATCTCTTGGCTAGCTTTAGGCCGTTGCTTGATCTTCATGCATTATCACTGAAGAGATACATGGAAGTGCTTAGCGTACTTGTTAAGGCAAGTGTACCTATAAGGCAGGAGTCTTAAGCTCTCTCATTTGCTTTCTAGAAGCTTCCTGTTTCTGTTAAACAGAATACAAACTCTGAGCTACCTTTTTAAATTTGGGCTGCCACTTTGTAAACACTGAGACAGCCTTTGTTTTGCAGGGTAGCATAAGGGATGTAGTTCAAAAGAGTGGATTTAATCAGAAAGCAAACATGGTAATAGTTTGAAACAAGTGTGAGCAGACTTGTCAGATGAAAAGCTATTTAAGATAATGTTATCGTGGTAATTGCAACATAAACCAAGTCGCATGTCTGATAATATCTGTTGGGGTCTCTTAGAGAGTGTTTGATAATCCATTTTATGTCTTACTCAGGTTCAACAGAGTTAGTGTTCGTAACCCATGTTATAGATCCATGCCACTTCTATATTCGGAGATACTCACAGAAGAAAGAAGCAGGAGTTTTGGCGAAGAAACTGAAAAACTTTTGTTGTAGTAAGAGTTCATCTCTCTTGCCTTCAGATATTTTGGAGCTAGGTAAATAAATAATTGCTAAAGGTCTACATTAGCTTAATATACTATCTTGCAGTATGTCCTCCTTAGTATCGCTTCCTCTTTTTCTCCCTCACCCCATTTACATTTGTCAAGAACATAGTAAAGCAATCTTTATATGTTCAGGAACCTACAATTAATGCTTTTTGGACAATATTGTACACATTATTTGGTAACACAGACTTTTATTAAATCATATAAATGAGAACGGTAGAAGTAAAAACGACTGCAGTTCTTCTCAACCTCAACAAATTTAGTGCTTAGAGTAACCAGCAGGAGAACGACCTTGCTGTAAACTTAATGTTTTCCAGCACTAGGTGGTAATTGTTAACTGGTAGTTTTTTGAGTGTACTAATTTTAATGATGAGCCTAGTTCGTCTTTTACGTCAGTAAAACAGCTTTCTCTCACACAAGCAAGATTCCCTTCGAGTGGACAGATGATTGTTTTAGTCCACTCACTACATGGAAAACATTCTAGAAGTAAATGTGAAAGACAGTAATACATTACTAGACAGTAATACATTACTAGAATACTACAGTTATTCTCTGGCCCACATGGACAATATTACTTTTAGAAGGTGTTCAGAAAACTGATTAACAGTATATAATATCTATCAACTTCAGTGTTTTTTTGCTACTTCTAGTATACTAAGATGTGTAGAAAGTTTGCCAGAAATTACTTCTTAATACAAGCCAAACACCTTCTGTTTGCCCTACAGATATTGCGTAAGTGAATGTTGGGAGAAAACTTTTGGTGGCCATCAAGGCAAGGTTTTTAATATCCTTGTGTCTTTATTTTAGCAGTAGCACTTTTACTGCCTGTGTGGAAGGTAGGCAATAATGGAACATTATGCAGAACTGTGATAATACTTCCAGTGTGAAATACCTAGAAATACTTAATTTAGTTGGGTTTGTTTTTTTGTTTTTTTTTTTTTATTTGCTTCCATACAGGTGCTGGAACTTTTATTAAGAATAAGGAAACTGGAATGTGGTGCCGTGGAACTATCACTGAACTAATTCCCCTCAAAACTAAAAATAACAGGAAGCCTTATGGTCCAATAAGATACAAAGTTTGTGATATTGCACTGCTGGAAGTATTCATGATTGATTTTGGGAGCTCTGTAGTTCTAACTCTCTCAGGGTATGTTTACAGAGAGACATTTTTGTCTGCAGTTGTACTTGACTGTTGTTACTTGAGGATCTCTACTAAGAAACAAGCCCTCTATAAGCTTCACACAAGCAGATAACCAGATACACAGATGATACATATTCTGTATGTACGTATTTCCTACAGAAAAAGTGGCAGTGTAAGTACATGACTGTCAAAGCCTTCATGCATTAAAATGTTTAACTTAGACTTGCATTGCAAAGAGAGAACATGTGAGTCCTCAATGTTTAAAAAAAAGAAAAGCATTACAGTGAGACCTTGTAATTACATTTCAATGACGTTGCATGCCGATTATTGCAGTAATGATGCAATAATTCTATTTTTTAAAGTCTGAGGTTTGGCTTTGGGGTTTTTTTGGTGGGTTTTTTTGTGTTTGGGTTTTTTTTTCCTTTTAAGCTACTACTGCTTTTATTCCTGTTGCTGATAGATGTATTCCCACTGAAAGGCCTGAACCTGCTACTCTGCAAACTATTGAAACGGATGACATTTGTTTGTTTGTAAGGAAGCCTGATCAGAATATGGAGGCAGAACTTGCAGCTGTTCCTCCTTTAGCAGTACGGTGTTCATTGAAGGATGTTGTTCCTAAAAATGCTGTAAGTAAAAGCTGTTTGTACTAATTCAGAAGATTTTTTTCTCTTCCTAGGATTTATATTAAAGAACTTGAATAGGTAACTTAAAATTACCTTATCCCAGTATAAATAAAAGGAAGCTCAAGAGGAGTACAGGGTATATTTTCCTTAAACTAAAAAAAAGTTACATCATCTCTTATAAAAAAGACATTGCATTCGTTGGAAAGGAAACACAGACTTACAGCAGACTGTTCTAAAAAGCCTCTGTGTTTACAAATACATATTTCAGACTTAAATCTCACTACTCTTACTCTAGACATGTTCTTTTGCCAAATTTAAAAACAAACTAACTAATTGATATTCTTATCTCATGGCTGTCTGTTAACTCTGTGCAAGTAGTAACTTTCAAAAATCATCCAAGCAGGGAACAAATGGCTTCAGAATTTTTAAGAGAATCTTTCCAGGGATTGGCCTTTGTTACTTAAAATTTTTGCCACATATTGAAAAGTGCTATTTGTTCTCTTCCAGTGTAACAAATAAAGTACTGTCAGCCTTTATTCCTGTAGAAAAAGGGCATATTGCAGCATTATTTTCTTCAATATTCACTTATTTATTAGGCTTTCTTTATTTTTGCCGTGTTCACACAGGATAGAACTATGTCCAGTGCAGCTGTGCATTTCTGACAGTATAACTGCTGATTGGTTTGGGGTTTTTTTTACTAGGCTGATGCTGTCCCAAATAGCTTTAATAGGAAAGATCTGGGACAATTTTCAAAGGGGTGGGTAAAATGCTTTCCATATATATACTGTCATTTTTTTCACACCTAAACCCACAAGTTTGCAGTATCAAATGAGAAGTGCATTAACTTGATCAAAAAGAAATAAATTCAGACAGGCTTTTTCAAGGTAGATAAAATGTTCAGAAGGATGTTGTGGTGATGAGGAATGTGTAAATTGGCCAAACTACGTTTTACTTTTGTATGCAAACACAAATAGGTAAGAATAAACTTAGAAACAAATTGAGAGAGGAGAAATGAAAGAGCATATCACAATTCTGGTTTATCAGAACAATCAGAGGAGGTGAAACTTTGAATTGTTAAAAAAAACATGGTGGAAACTGCAGCCCTTTCAGCAGTCTCAGTTGTATGCAGTTAAAAGCTTACAAATCCATCATAGAAGAATGCTGTCCAGTGCTGTCCTGGCTATGGACTAGAGGATGTAACAGTGTGTTCAGTATTTCCTCTGTTCAGATGTGTCTGTGCTCCTTTTTCTCTTTCTCTTTCTTTCTCTTCCCCTTTCCCTTTCCCCTTCCCCTATCCCTTTTTTCCTTTCCTATCTCTATTTTTATTTTTGATTTAACATTCTTTGATACCTTAAGTAACTTTTCCTTTCTTCCTAACACAGAGTGAAGGTTGGGAAGAGGAAGCAAAGACAAAGTTTTCAGGAATGGTAGAGAATAAAGTTGTTTTAATGACAATATTTAGAGAAGAAGATGGTGTTCTCATTGTGGATTTGAAAAAATCTCCATTTAGTAAAATAAGCAGTAACATGCCAGTGTCTGTCAAGGATGCATTAGTTTATTTAGACTTGGCAAGGTATGTGTTTTCCTCTAGTTTATGCTCTTAGCCATAAATTATAATGGCATAACACTTTTAAAGTGAAGTTTACCAAGCAAGTCATTTTTGCAGTGTTTGATACATTAACGTGTGGTGTATTAATCTTCAGCCATATCTGTTGATATCCTCTTTCCACCGTCAGTAGTAAGCACTGTGGCATACAGCCCTGCTTTGGCTAGGGTGGAGTGAGTTTCCAGCAGAAGCTGGGAGGGGGTGAGGGACAGACAGCCAGACCAGCCCCTGGGTTGTTCTGTACCGTGCTGACGTGATGCCCGCGGCAGAAGGGCCGAGGGTGGGCTGGGCCCATGCCACCATCTGTCTGTGTATCACTTGCTTTAGATATTGTTTTGTTACTGTTATTACTGTTGTGTATTGCTCCTTTTGTGTTATATTGTTTTCATGTTGACCCACCGGGTTTTGTCGTTTCTGTCCCTTTTCTCCTTCCTGTTCAGGGTGTGGTGTGGGTGAGCGAGTGCCGACTTGGTGCCCAGCTCCCAGCTGAGTCTAAACCATGACACATCCTCATTTGCACTAGTCAGGACTTTATTTAATTGACTTCATTTTCAAAAATTACAAAATTTAACTTTTTCTGTACAAGTTTTAAATAGGAAAGGGGTGAAAGGACAAGTCCTTCGTGTCTGCCACAGACGGAGAAACATACAGAAATCCGTCTTGTGTCTGATTTGGCTGATAGGCAGTGACAGGCTAGTCAGCAGGTCTGACCCAGCCACGTGGCGTGATGCAGCACAGTAAATGGGAGAAACAGCTTCATGTTGGTGTTAGGACAGAGGAGAACTGCTTTGGAGGAAGCAGTGGAAGAGGCAGGAGGAGACAGAGAGCAACATGACCATTTCGCTGTTTGGGAACATGGGTACGGCATGCAAATCTGTAGGAAATAATAGTTCATTTTGCTACACACAGAGAAAGGTCTTTACTTATATTGGATATATATATTTTATTTATAGTTGTATTAGTGAGATCAGTAGGAGAGAATTTTTTTACTGCACCTGTATTCCTTAGTTAATTGCTTTTTCTTGTAAATCAGGAAAAGGAAATCTAAAAAAAAATTACTTTGTCAATGTAGTGGATTTTAGCTTTTTTTTTTTTTTTTCAATTTAAATGTAGGCTACTGCATCCCAGATAAAATCTTCTTAGGGGCAACTTGACGTATTTCATTCTTCATATGTTGCATTTGTGATATAAGAGAGAACTGGCTGCACCAACTGCAAGAAAGGAAGTTCAAGCTATTCCTACAAACATGAATCAAGTTATTTTTATAAGACCATTTTGCATTTTTTATGGGAAACTTGACATTTGAAGATAAAAGGATTCCTTCTCAGTTAATTTTGACAGAATTTATTCAGAATTTCATTTTGTTTACCTCAGGTTTAGATCACAGCTTCCCAGTCAGTTAGAAAATAATACCATCTTCCACTATAGTCCACCTAAGATTCCACAAGAAAAAGAAGAAGTGTTTGTCATAGTTTGTCACATTAATAGTCCGAATGATTTCTATCTCCAGTTGGTAAGTTTAGAAATAAGGTCTATTTAAATAAAACTCTGAACAGACATGTTAATGTTGAGCCACTTGTAGTCCACGTTAAATAAGCTACATTTTCCGTAACTTCTGTCACTTGTTACCAGTTTTTGGATTCCTACAAGTAATAGATGAGATTAATTCCTAAAATCCTAGATTAGTTCCAGTAATTCTTAGAATTACAGAAAGTTAGCTTTTTTTTTTTTTGTCAGTTTTGTTACACATGGCTAATATCTACGTGAGTCTGTAGTGTTCTTCTGTTTGGAGTGCTGACTGAACAGGGCAATATTCAAGAACATTTAGGCGCTTTAATTTGCATTCCATATTCATAACAACTGTGTAATTTGAAGAGGGGAAGACTAGGAAGTACACTACTAGGAAAAATGTCCCTTGAAAGAGCAAAAATGCCATTAATACTGTTTTTTTTTAAATAATGTTTGCTGTATATGTATATTTTGTTCTTACTATTTTAGAGAGATAGCTTGGATTCTTTAGCTCTTTCAAAGAAAATTCTGGAGGTATATAAACATGAGCATGGGAACTTGGAAGTTGTCTGCCCAGTTGAAGGCCAAGCCTGTATTGCAAAGCAGGAAGATGGGAATTGGTACAGAGCAAAGATTATAGGTGAGGTATTGGTTCTTCTATTCCAGTGCTGGGTTGCAAAATCAGATCATCTAGATCAGATTCACTCACTGGATATGAATAATAACAAACAGCCATTATTTTTACTAGGCTTTCTAACAGATAGGTTCATAAAGCCAGTAGTACTAATTCATGTTATGTTCTTTTTCTATTAATGGAGTGATTTACGCATTTTGGTTGTTTTTTTTTTTTTTTTAAATTAAGAGAAAGGGTATATTTAATCTTCTATATATTACTGAAATTCTATTCTGTAATTATTTTCATTAATATTTTGCTTACTATTACACATTGCACTACAAGTTTGTCTATTACAGGCAGTCTCTGAGTGTAACTAGTGTGGATTAATAATTATCCACAGTAATTCCAAAGGGGATGGGGTCTGTACTTGTGCTGATCTCTGTGTTGCCTGTATGCTTATGTCTATTTGGCATGCATTTACTGGACCAGTGTCTCATAAAGTGATTAAATGGAAGGGGACTGAAATGCTAACTCCTGTCTGTTAGGAACCTGAAAGAGCTGGCTCTTAAAGAGTGTAGGCTTTGAATTGAGTTACAGAGCATTTGAAAACGTGTCGTTTTATGCTTATATGGTGTAAATGTGGATTTTGCTCTGAAATTCCAGTTCTTTAACCTGTATCAGATACTCAATTTTATTTGAATAACTTGGGTTGTTTTTCTTGAAGGGCTGCCAAGTGATCAAGAAGTTATGGTAAGATATGTTGACTTCGGCAACATTGCTCACTTACCTCTTAAAGACATATGCAGAGTAAAAAAAGAGTTTCTGAGCTTCCCAGAAAAGGTAAATTGGTGCTTGCCTGAATTAAATACTCAAAATTAATAGCATCTCAGTGGGTGGAAGGGGAAAGAGAGGCTTGTAGGGATTCTGAAGTAAATAAAATGTCACGCAATTTCTTTTTCACATGGATTTATGATCTAACGTATTTGATATGTTTTGGGTACACATTGAAAACTCTTAAATTCTTTAATATCAGTCAGTTCTAAACAAAATCTAATGTTACCTTGCAGTGAGGAGCTGTATATGCATTCTGTGGGTGTTTAATTCAGATACCTTCTTTCACTCCATAGTGAGGAGCTGTATATGCATTCTGTGGGTGTTTAATTCAGATACCTTCTTTCACTCCATAGTAAGCTGAAAACGGTTTTAAATTTCATTTTCAAACGATAATCTAATAATAGTCCTTTAAAAAATATATATTTTGTTTGGTTTATGGCATTTAAAGTTTGCTGTTTTCCAAACTTTAGCTGTTGGCAGGAGTTGCCACCTTGTGACAAGGTGTGAAAACTGAATGGGAAAGGAAATGGCAAAGTATTTCTTTTGAATAACAAATACACAGAAGCAGAAAAAAAAATCTGTTTTCTTCAGCTCTTTTGTTTGATAGTACTAGTTGCCAACCCTAATTATGCTACACTTTGAAACTTCGTATGTTGGTAGGGCTTTTTTAACCAGTTGTAGGCACCAGAAATAGTGATCGTTTTAACCGAGTTTGGCCATCATCTTTTACTGAAAGCAAGGTTTATTTGATTATATTTTGAGCATATGTTTCTTGGGAAAGTTTCAGCCAAAGTAATTGAGCCTTTTTTGTCAGCAAGGGAGAGGAAATACTCTGAAAACGGCAAAAAGTTCTTGCAGTTGCAATGCCTTCATGCTGCAGATCAAAGCGGCTAATGAAGAAGGGTACTGGGATTTTTGATGCATATTACCCCATCATTCCAGCTGATTGCTTTTTACTGACCAAATAAAAATCCTCGGAAAGATCTGTTAAAGAGTTTGTCAGCTCTTGAGCACCTACTACTAGGCCTCCTCACTTTGAACATAAAGGAGAAGAGGCTAAAGAGTTTTGGATACAGATGGGTATATGACCACTAGAGAATGGTGTAAAAAAACTTGAACCCATCAGTTACTCACAAATTTCAACGTTCTTATACCATATATAGGTTAGGGTGAAACCCTCTGCTAACTTGAAGTCTGCGTAAGAAGCAGTGAGCTCCTGTTGCTATTAGTTGTAATGAGAGTAATAGATCGACAGACTTGAGTCTGCTTGTGTGTTGCTATGGTTTCAAATATTTTCTATTTTAAAAAAAAACACTAATTTTTAAAGATTTTAAATTCTTTGAAACATGAGCGAACACAAGATTGCAAAATCAAACATTCAGAAGTTAAGAATATCAGAAGTGAGGTTGCTTCTACAGCCCTATCCTGTTGCATGTAGTCATTGGTAAGTCTTCACACATGATCAAATATTGCATTGCCTCAAATATAACTTGGTTATTTTAGATATTTGAATTAAGCAGTTACAAGGGAAGCTGGACTTTCTTCAGCCTGTTAATACAGTTTGCAGGCATTTTGATGGATTCAGGTTGTGCAGAAGTCTTGGCCAAGATGGGAATGAGCAGTGCTTGATGTAGTGTTGGTTTTGTCATCTGCAGCAGCCCTTTCTCTTCACAGTTATTTAACCTGTCAGTCTTATTTTCACTTTCCTGACTGCCTGTGTCCTAAGAAGATTTGCACAAAACATTCTTATTTCTATTACCTTTAGAAATATTGTTATTCCTATTACCTTTATTTCCTTTCTTCCCTTTTTCCTCTACCTGTATTACTCTTCTCTCCTCCAGTGTACCAAACGAGGAGGAAACAGTAACATTCACAGTTAATCTAAAACTGAGCCATAGTAGGGGTAGCCTCCAACATTGGCAGTAAGGATGGCTAAGCAAAAAATCTTTTATTCAGAGTATTTACTCTCTTCTGATTCCTTGTGTGTTTCTTTTTTTATGTCTCCTAACCAATACTTATAAAAAATCTGACAGGAATTTTCTGACCTAGGTAATGTGGTGTCTCTGTGTTCAGTCCTTCAGACTTCTACAATGGTATAATCATGTCTTAGATGAGTCTGGGTTATTACATCATAAGCAAAACAGGATGAAGGCTTTCCTCATGACTCTCTGCAGTAATCTTTCGTGATCCCTGCACCAATTTTATTGTAAGGGAAGGCAAGAAATAATAGCAAGAATGTATCAGAATTTGAGGTTCAGGTGCCAGCAGGAGGGGCAGGGTTCGTCTTTAATGGAGCCATATAGTGGTAGTGTGGAACCAGAAGCCAAGGTCACTCTGTCTTACTGTCCTGCATCAGTGCAGAGCAAAGGCTGTTGTTTGGCTGTAATGAAGTGGTCTTGATATGTGATGGTAGATACATGACTTGAGTTATTCTTCAGGCAATCGGGTGCAGGCTGGCTTATATTGAGCCTTTTAAAGGGGGAAATGAGTGGAAGAGAGAAGCCAAGGAAAGATTTGAAGAAATGACTGAAGATAAACTTCTGCTGTGTTCAGTTGTTGGTAAGCTATTAAGTGTATTAACTTACATTTAAACATTGCTGAATTAACTCAAATGTAGAAGCGTGAACTTTCATATCTTAAATAGCGATTATTTGAAATGCTTATGCTAATACTTGCAATAGGTAGCCTGGATATACCTAAACATGAACCAGTCGGATGAGACATAGCAGATACACCTTCTGACAGAAGCTCTGTTCATGTCTTTTCTGATGGACCACACCAGCATTAAGTGACATAAGTATCCTGGTTCATTAAGATGGGCTTGTTTTCAAAAGAACTAGCTATCCTTGAGTCTTCCTGACTTTAGTAGTAGCTGGAATGTGGTCGCTGCTGCTCTAAAACGTCACCAAAAAAAATGATAACTCATATATGCCTTAGCAGAATTTTTCTCAATACCATTTGTTGCTAATATGCAGTAGGTATTTTTCAGCAGCTGTGGAATGGTGGTTTGGAACCCATCTAATAAATGAAATTACATGTAGCAGTTAGTTTCTTTGTACAAAAATATTTTGTATTTATAGGTAAAATTAACTTATTTTAAGTTAATTTTACAGATATGTGCAAAGCTAAGCCTCTACATATTGTTGATGTTCAGAATCAATTATTTTATAAATCAAATGTAATTTTACAATTATAGTGCCGTTTGCCATGCCTTCAAAGCCATAAGTATTTTTTATACTGTCATTGATGGCCACTAATTATGTTTATATTATTCATTCACAGAAATATTAAATAATAACATCTTATCTGTTGAACTCTTTGACCTTTCTGCTCTTCATGGAAGAAGCTTTAGTATTAACTGCCAGCTAGTAGAAGACGACCTAGCATCTTATGTATCTGGGTAAATACACTGTGCATAACCTAAAGTATTTGGAAGTACTGAATTTGTGTAACGGAATATCACTTCTGTGTGCTTAACCTGCACCTAAAGTAGGTAATCTCTTTGGAAGGTCTGTTATTAGAAAACAAATACTCAGATAACCAGCTATGACAGCGGTGGACAGAAAAGTTGGGAAGCCTGGTGGAGGAGATAGGGCTAATAAGGAGATCACACTGCTTCGTTTAATTTTTTTTTTAATCTTTTTAGAAAGATAATCCATAGGCTGTATTAATGGAAGAGTATTTATTGATTTTCATTGTTTTTGAATACTGATGAAAATAAATATTAATATATTGTTTTATAGAAAGCTTTGATCCCAAAGGTAATTCCTGAATTTACTTTTATCAGGAGGAAACAAGTACATGGATTTTCATCTCCTGGCTCAGAAAAATAACTAAATCCTAGTAATGCTTTTCTTGTACTGCTCACAACTTTTAATCAGATTTTTTTTAAGTTAAGCAGCTTTATTTAAATGTAACAGCTGAACTGTTTTGTCTCCGTCACTAGGGTATTTTGTTGTATTGCAGCTATACTTAGACGCCTGCTTGTGGCCTAGAACTAAGTGTGTGTATTACTTTAGTGTAAGTTGCTGTGTAACAGTGTTAGCTTTGCTAATGTGCATGTTTTGTTCACTCGCTCACTTCCCCTTTAATTGGGATGGGGAGAAAATAAAAGGAATGGGAGCAAGAAAACTCATGGGTTAAAATACAGACAGGGAAATCGCTTACAAAGTACTGTTGTGGGCAAAACAGACTTAATTTAACATAATTATTAATTAGCGTAAGTACTTAATTACACATTCAGGGATTGAGACACAAAAGAGAAACATTTTTAGCACCTGCCCTTCCCCTTTCCCAGGCTCAAGTTTGCTGGAAGCACCTCTCCTGCCCCTCCTACACCAGGTTACAGTCAGTCCTTTCAGTGAGGCGTGAGCAGTGCAGGGGGTTGGGGTCAGGACACAGCGATTTCTCCCAGCTGCTCCTTCCTTCTTGCTCTTTTCCCGTGCTCCAGCATGGCCCTCCACTGGCCTCAGTCCCTAGACGAGTGTGCCTCTTCCCCCACAAAATGCCTTCAACCCTTCTGACCTTGGTGTTCCCTATGTTATTATTTGTCTCTTCCCTTATCTCTCTCCCTGGTGTTTTCTGCTCATCATTAAATTAGAGGTGCCACCAGCTTTACTGAAGGGCTCATCCATGTTCTGTGAGCATCTGCTGCAGAGACAGCTGAAATGAGCCATGTCCCCCATGGGGGAGCACCTGGCCTCTCCTCTCTCAGGTCACCTCTGCAGCCCCTCTCCCAACATATCTTCTACTTGGAATGATGTTTCCAGTTGCAGGGAGGAGGAAGAGGCAAGGGAATTGTTCTAGGGGTAACTTCGAGGGTTTTGGATTTGCTTTGTTTTCCAGTGCATGTAAGTCTCTAGCCCTCCAGAGCTCTAACGTCACTTTTTTCTCACTGTATTTGCCATTTGTGAAGATTAGTGTCTGCAAAAAAGCAAGAGACTACTGAATAATTTAAACCTACTTTAGGTCATTTAGAATCATATTTGGCTTATGATTACCCTTCAATATTTAATGCTGTTGAGGGATACCCAGGCCAGCTCTAAACTAGTATAAGGCGGTGTAAGCAGGAGAACACAGCACTCCATTTGAAGCTGGCTTGCTGACAAGCAAGTCACCTTACACTTGCATTGGGATAGGAATTAGTCCATAGGGAATTCCAGGAAGAAACCTTGGAATCTGAATTTCATCCCAAATTGATTTCTTTTTCTGGTGCATATGCAGTGATAATGCTTCACTGGAGTTAATAGAGAAAGGGCTGTCTAAACATATAACATGTATTTCACTTGAGGCAACCCTATGTTGCAGCTTACCTCTGTCCATTTCATAGTTCACAGTAGTAGTATGCAAGGAAAGCACGTTTATGAGCTGTGGTTTTCGTTTCTTCCCTGGTTCTGCAGGTTAGCAGCTTTACCCCAAAGTTTCCTGCATCAGGAACCACTTGCATGGCAGTATGTAGTGGATGGCACAGTACATTACAGGATTTCTCTCAGACAGAGCAGTTTGTTTCCTTCTTGTGGAAGGAGAGACAAGTGGTAGATCTCTGAAAACAAAAAAGTTTTTCACTAGAGGCCCAGGAATTACCAGCAGCTAAACTCATGCCTGCTGTCTCATTCAGTCTTGATGTTTACAAGAAGCCAGTTCTTTTGCATTAAAAGGGTTTGTTTTATTTTCAAGATGCAATCTCTTATGTCTGTAGTTGGCACGATTCACACAGACTTTAAGCTGGGCTGTGGCTCAAAATAGCTACCAGCCAACTCTTGATTGCTGTTGGGCTTTATTCCATCTAGTTCACAGTTTTAAAAAGTTTTCAGCAAGCTATTTGTCATGACCGTAGATCATTCAGTGCTCTACTTAGGAAAGTGCTAGGACCAGTTGTGTTGCGTTTGCATCCTCAGGGAATGCTAGAAAGGTAAATGTTTCACTAGTGTTAGTATTATTTACTTCTGAAAAGAGTATTTACACATCTTAGATGTTTAATGTTTCAGCTTTAACTCTGAGGCAGCATTCATTTCCAGAACCCTGATACTAGTAGTTTGATGTCTTTTAAAGACAGACAAAACCGTGAATGCTCAGCAGCCCATTTGTGTCAGGCTTGCGTTTCTGCTGGCAGCCTATATTGCATAGTGCTTTCATCTGTCAGTAGAATGTGCAAGGATACCTTCTGAAGGAGAATAAAAATAAATTATTACTGTTTCAGACGTAGCATTTAGAAATACTTTTGTCTTTCATTGGGATTTTTTTCTGCTTTTCAGATTTATTATTCTTCACTCTTCTTCATGTTGAATGATTCCTGTCATGTTGAACTGTGATTACAGAGCTCTTTTTCACTTTGTTTAGAATGTATTTAAATTTTCCATTCTAATTACTTTATGCTCTTCACAGGTACACTGCAAATACTGCAGTAAGGCCCAGTGAAGTGTGGGATGTTCCTCTAGAAGAAGTCCCTGAAACCTCAGAAACTTTATATCTTACAGACATGGAATCTGTGGGTGGACATTTCAGATCACTTTTTAAAAAAGAGCTACAAGCGAAAATTAGTCATGTTGTATCTCCTAGTAAAATTTTTATACAATGGCTGTCATCAAAATGTATGCTCAAAAGGTAATAAAATGCAAAGAACTTTTCTCAAGGCAGTCTTATTAGAATCTGGTGAAGTATAGTTAAAATAAATTGATGAGGGTTTGGCCCTGAGTACTCTTTTGAATGCTGTTGACTTACCTTACTTTGTTGAGGAAAGTATAGGAACAGAAGACAGATTGGCATTATGTTGGCTTTTTTTAAAATATTTGTGATTCTTAATTAGGTACATGTTTAACTCCTTTTTCAGAACAGCTTTAATATAGTAAATACCAGGGTCTGGTAAATGCAACACTGTCCAGAAAGACTAAATCCTTCTGCTTCTTTTCTGCTTCCCATTCCGTCATTAGAAGTCTTGTGAAATAATAAGGGTATCCTAAGTCACAGAAATTCAGTCAAGTTACTTCTTTCAACATGATTCTAAGCTGGATTTAGGAAGGTTTGAAGGCAATTTCTAGACAGTGTATCAGCCTTCCTTTGGTAGATATTTAGGTAACATTTAGGTATTAGTGTGTACTCTTTGAAGAGAGGGTACTAGAAATACCATTGCTTAGTGCAGGTTGCTTGTTTTCTGCCTCTTATTTCTCCTTTCGTTCATCTTTTGACTTTCTTGCGCATAGCTACCTAGGGTCTCATCGAATCAATCGTGACTCTAAATGAGTACCACACTCTCAAGTTGTCAAGAGAAAATAGTGGATCTTTCACATAGTGCTGTACAGAAGGGTCAGGAGTGCTCAAATTTGTTCTGTTGTTTAAGAAAACATGATCATTCTACAGAATTTTAATCAAATTGCATGTGTTTCAAAGCTCCAATACTTATGTGTCTGTTAAACAGTTACTAAAACTTCACTGTATGCTAGTTAAGGACTAATTGACCAAATAAACCCTTTATTCACTGGCTAAAACTTTACCACTAGAAAAGTGTTTTTTTCCAATGTTAGTTTACAGGAGAAGATGGATGCCATCTACAAAGGATCCCAGCCACAGTCTGTGAAGTGGGAAAGCAATATGCACTGTGCTGTTTACATACATGAATTGAAAGAGTGGCAAAGAGGTCAGATAAGCAGGATTATCTCTGAAACAAGTGTAGAGGTAAGCCTCTTATCATAAGAGGGTTCATACTTTTATTTCTAAAGTTCATAAGCATTCGTTGATCAAACTAATGTCAGATGTTTTCTTCTTACTTCTGTGCTAATGATTTCTCATGCATGGTATTTTCTTTCTGCTTTTGATGAGAGTTGGAGTTATGTTGTACATCACTGCAAATAAAATTGCTGTCTCCTCAATGCTCAGATGCCTTTAGGAAGGAGTCTGGTAGTTGAGGAAGGCTTGCGTAAACACATACAAAATGAACCTCGCTATGCTTTGCAACTCGGCACAGATCGCCAGGCTGTAGCCTAGCAGCTTAGCTTAGATTCCAGAAGCTGTGTGAACCTGAGGATCATATTAATTCAAACTAGAAGATGGAGACAGTTGAACTAAGTGGAACGCCACAGGAACACATGTAGATGTGCTGTTGCTTGAACCCCCAGCTGATGGTGGTACACCATGCCATGTGGGCATAACATTTCCCACAGTAACTTCTCACACAGTGCTGCTTTAAATATGGATTTTACTGCACTCACTAAGGAGCATCAGAAGAGGCATTTTGTGACTAGATAACTACCTGCTTCAAAAGTAAGAGTAGCTTTTTAATCATACAGATAATCCAAGACTGGATTACCATTGATACCATCATCAGATTATGCCTGTGGGTATTGTTAGTAGGAAGCAGAAGTGGGACTTTTTGTGCTTCCGATTTGTGACTTTCTAAGGCTAAGAGCCCTCAAACAGAGATTTAACTGCGTAAAAATAAGAAGCAAGGCTTGGAGGTGAGCTGTTTCAGCATTTCAAGATCTACAGATTTAAATGCACCAATTGAAGCACAGGAAAATAAATTTTCTTTTTCAAATAACAGCCTCTGTAAAGACTTTCGATCCCCCTTGAGCATATTTTTGTGTTTTGACCTCTTTGTACGCTGTTGTAGTCATTCATGTTGTGTGATGAGGTACTTCAGTGCAAAGGCCATTAATTGAATCCTGGTAATGTTTATCTGAATTTTGTTCAGCTATACAGGCATGCTTTGAATTGTCATTCATTACAGATAACACTAAGAGGGTTTTTTGTCTGTTTCATTGTGTTTCTTTTCTGAACAGGTAATACTTTACGATTCTGGAGCTGAAAAAACAGTGGATATCAGCTGTCTAAGAAACCTTGAGGAAAATCTGAAGATAATTAGGACATTAGCAATAGAGTGTTTCTTGACAGATATAAGGTAGCCTTTCCCTTAAGAAGCCTAATAATTACGTACTTAATACTTCCCTGGGTTAGCACCAATCATCTGAGATTTGCTTTTTGAATGAAAAAGAAATGGGATGGTGGCTGTGATTTCTTTTACAGGACTTTTTCTTCTGAGGGTTATGTTACATACCGGTGAAGCAGAAACTGTGCTATAGAAAGAAAGAATATTTAAAGGATGGATTACAAAATACTAGACAGATGATAGAGCTTTTCTTATTTCCGTGAATGCTTTTTTTCTGGGCTCAGAATTTGAGATTAATCCAGTCTCACAGAAATGTACAGGAAGTCTCTCTTTTCCAAACTGTAGTCTCCTGTGCATTTGTTTGTGTGCCATCTATACTGTGAAGAAAAAAATCATGTTCATAATACTAATTTTCTGAAGGAATATAAATAGCCTAATTTAGAGATGCAGCATGGATTTTCCTTTGTTCTGTTAACACAGGTGTCATACTTCTCAAACTCATGATCCTTCTCATTTTGAAGTTATGGGGTTTATATTTTTGAAGTCTTCCTGGCATGCAGATCCAGAGACGATTAACCATTTCTTTTTACTCTTGACTGGAATGGAGATTGCCTTTTTTTCCTGAAGTTCAAGTAGCTTTGAAAAAAAAACAATATCACAGTAAAAGGAACAGTTTGTATTGAAGTTCAGGAGGTGCCAACTTCTCTTGCAGTAAAGGAGATTATAATTTTTTCTGTTAGACCAACAGGTGGAAGCATGCAGTGGACAGCAACAGCATGTGAATGTTTGTCCTATTACCTAACTGGGGCACAAGTAAAAGTTATCATACAGGTTTGTAATCAAAAACAAAGGTATCTGTAAAATTTCTTCAGGTTGTCTGTTAATTTAATTGTTTTCTGAATATTTTCACTTTTCACAAAGTCCTGAGTAGGAGCTTGCTTAGATTGCTGTTTGCTGTAGGGGAAAAGATGGTTTTAGTTATTTCTGCTTTACTTTTGTTACTCACTGGAGCATTAGAAACAGTTTGGATACCCAGTGTGGAAAGAACACATTCTAAGATATTTTTAGTTACTGAAGCATAATATTTATAACTTTGGGATCAGTGGATGCTGACAAATTTTACAGACATATGAGCAAGATGTTCATGTTCTTGGTGATAATTATTTCAGTAGCTACTGTATTAGTTTTCAAGCCTCAGAATCTGAAGATTGACTCTGAAGCTGTATGAACATCATCAGTAATAGATTTCTTCCACTGGTAAAAAATATGGAAATAGTGAGAATTTGATTTGTTTACTGTCTTGTGGCAGCTGCCAGTGAGTTTTTATAGTGTGTCTGGAAATACAGGCACTGATGAGCAAAGTTACTTACAAGTGGGTTTAAAGCTCCTGCTGGAGGAGTGTTTTGCAGTTCATTCTAGAAGCTAAGGGAAAATAGCTAAGCTACTTCCTGTGTTAAGAAAGAATAAACAAGGATTTATTGTTAATTTTTTTAATGTCATGATTAGAACAATTGGTAAAATGGTGGGTACATAGTCCCACAAATAAACGTGCCTTCTGCTGAGGGCTTTGGTTGTTCAACAACATCCAATTGGCAGTCAGTACCAGTAAAATGAAGAGTAGACCAGTAGTTTTGAGGAAGTGCATATTGTAATCTGTTGTCTAGCTCTCTCCTTTTTTCCAGGAAAGTGATGTGGCTCGTGTGTTGCCTGTGAAAATTCTTTGCAAAGATGAAACAGGAAAACTGTTTGATATTTCAGAACACCTTATTAAAAATGGTTTGGCTTTTAGAAACAGAAGGTTTGTGCACTTTTAAATTCTTTCCTTCTTTCATATTCACACTGTGATAAGCTAATCAATAAAACAAAAATTTTGGGTTGTCCTCTGCAGCATATGTAGCAACAGAACTTCTTCAGTGAAATTATTTCAGTATAACATTATTAATTATATCCATTGCATGTTTTGGTTCTCTATGGTGATAGATTAGATGTTAGGCAGTATCTTACAAGCATTTGCCATCTTTTTGCATTTGTTTTTTTTTTACTTCTGTTGTTTCATTCTTTTGCACTTTTGAAGTTCTTTGTCAGTTAGTATGTCAGTAATTATTTGATTTTAATTTGCCAGAACTGATAATGCTGATGTGGCTTGCTCAGTCTCCAAGGAGCATCTTAAAGTAGATTTAGAGCAGGAGGACACACAACTGGATGGTCGTAGCTCAGAAACTGCATGTGCAACAAGCAGCGCTGCTCCAGATGAAAACCTGACCTTTCCACAGACTGAACAAACATCATGCAAAACATATAAGTCACTTCTTCATTCAGGAATGGATGAAATATATAAATTCCCTGTTATACCCGAAGAGAAAATTTTTCAAGCTGTAGTAAGTTTCGTTGGACCTGACGGAACTATTTATATAATACCAAAATCACTTGGTAAGATCCCATAGAAGTAAACACATTAGTGTTTATTGAGTCCGAGAGCTCTGGTATATCACAATGTACCAGATACATGTCCGGGTGTACATGTTCTGTACCAGAACACGGTTCTGGAAGACTCTTGTTGGGGAGGATTGTTGTTGGGGGGGGAATGAGGCATTTGGCATGGGGGGCAAGGGGTGCGTGCCCATCCACCCTCTGCTCTGCAGCGGTGGGAGGGACCCAGCAGCTCTGTGGCAGAGCAAACCCACCCAACCCAGCACTCCCAGACACCAGAAACCGGGTGCCAGGGTGGTCACATCATGTGCCTCTCTTCTCCAGACAGCATTGGGCAAAGCAGCAAGTGCCATATTCTGTGGTGCTGAGCTTGTGATACATTTTACTAATAACAACGAAAGATACAGTTGTAAAGGGTCTTGGTGTTTAGCCTGGTTCTCAGATGTTACTGGGTATCTTTTCCCTTCAGTGCGAACTTGGTACCCAGTTTCCTTGGGCTCTTTATTTGTATTGTGATAAATTCTGTATCTCTTAATATTTTGTGTTTGTGCTTTCTGAAAGAGGTATATTTTCATGTGATAGATGCAGTGTCAGCCTTCAGTACCATCATAATATATTGTGCGTTAGAGAAGTGTTTCCATGTGAGAATATTAATTTATTTTTTCTTTTACTGTACAAGTCCATTTAATTTCTAGATCATGTGATCAAATTTGAAACTCACAGTACAGCAACCCCACTGCCCAAGACTGTATTCTTGTCATTGTTGCTGTAGACTGCACCCATAGCAGAAGAGGGTCTTCTGGACTCCTGTTCTGTGTTGTTTCATGGTGTCCTACCACTGTCTTTGGAAATCTGCTGTATTGTTTATGGAGAGGCTCTTGCATTAGTACTGCTAAGGTGTCAGCTCCAAAATTTGTAGACCCTTCTCTGAGATTAGAATCCAGAATTACTAATGGCTTCACAATTGGAAATCCAGTTTATTTTTGTTTTAAATAGTAATTTGTTTGGATATACTAGACATTGAACATATATGTTTTATCAGTGTTGGAAAATGTTTTTTTGGAGTAGCACATGTATTTTATGTTTATAAATGTCTTCATCATGATTGAAATAATGTACACTAATAATAGACTATTTTTAAATTATTTTTTTTTATTATTCCTTCCATCCCCCCAGAAATTGAACTAAAGAAACTGATGACTGAAATACAAAGCAAGTTCAGATGCCTGAGTCTTCTGGAACCCTACTGCTGGAAAAAAGGAGAAGCTTGTGTTGTGAGAGCACCAGATACCATGTGGTATCGAGGTAAAGTTGTAGGAGTCGGTGGTGGTACTTTCCAGGTAAGTTTGATTGGGGGGAGGGTGGGGAGGGGTTATATGAACATGTGCACATGTATGTTCAAAAATAAGAAGGGAAATAATCTAATCTTCTAAAATAAATTCATGGTAACACCTTTTTTTCATTCAGCTGACCTGACTGTCCTGATGCTCATTCTGCTTACAAGTGTGATAACTGTCCTGATTTTTACGTGTTTTAAAGATTAATTCTGTCCACTCATTTTAGTTGCCACTATTTTTCCCATAGTTTTCCTGGTGATGATAAATGTTCTTAAGTAAAATCTACCCTTGATCACCTGTAAGTAACCCTTTTTTAGGTTTTTGGTTCTTATGTTTTTAACATACATGGAATGCTTTGAAAATACTTAGGTTTAGCTTCCTCTGTCCTACCCACACACAAAAAGTAGCAGATGAAGGCTGTTTGCTTTGAATTCTTTCTGCTGCACAGGTACAGGGCTACTCTTATTCACAGTTAATCATAGAGGCTGCAGAGCACAGTAAAGTTTCCCTGGAGCCTTCACCAGGGAGAAGGAACACACAACTTTCTGAGTTGAACAACCACAACTTTCAGAGCATGTCCACATAGGAGGGGTGCTCCAGGCCCCTGGTCATCTTTGTGGCGCTCCTCTGTACCCAGTCCAACAGATCCACGTCCTTCTTGTGCTGGGGGCTCCAGAACTGGACATAGTACTCCAGGTGGGGTCTCAGGAAAGAGGAGTAGAGGGGAAGAATCGTCTCCCTGGACCTGCTGGCCAGTCTTCTTTCAATGCAGCCCAGGATATGATTTGCTTTGTGGGCTGCACTCAGACTTTGTTGGCCCATGTTGAACTTTTCATCAACCAGCTCCCCGCAAGTCTTTCTCCTCAGGACTGTTTTCAGTCCATACTCCACCCAGCCTGTATTTGTGCCCAGTGCATTGGCCCAACCCAGGTCCAGGACCTTGGCAGATACTTGGCCTTGTTGAACTTCATGGTACTGGCATGGGCCCACCTCTCAAGCCTATCAAGGTCCCTCTGGATGGCATCCCTTCTCTCCAGTGTCTCGACCACACCACACAGCTTGATGTTCTCCACAAACTTGCTGAGAGTGCACTCAACCCCACTGTCCATGACACCAACAAAAATGTTCAACAGCACCAGTCCCAGGACTGAACCCTGAGAAGCACCACTCATCACTGCTCTTCACTTGGACATCAAGCTGTTGCCTGCAGCTCTTTGAGTGTGGCCATCCAGCCAGCTCCTTATCCACTGAGTAGTCCATCTGTCAAACCTGTGTCTCTGAAATTTAGAGTCTGCTCATGCTTTTTGAATGCAGATTTACAAGTCTGACGCGTAGCTGGGGTTGTTCAGTCGGGAGAAGAGGAGGCTCCAGGGTGACCTTATAGCAACCTTATAATAATAGCTGAGAAGGGCCTATAAGAAAGCAGGGGAGGGACTATTCACAAGGGTTTGTAGTGGCAGGGGGGGGGGGAAAGGGGTCAAGAGAGAAAAGGGGAGATTTAGGATTTAGGCTAGACATTAGGAAAAAGTTCTTCCATATGAGGGTGATGGATCCCTGGAATAGGTTGCCCAGACAGGTGGTGGACACCCCATCCCTGGGGACATTCAAGATCAGGCTGGATGAGGCTCTGAGTAGCTTGATCTGTTTGGAGACATCCCTGCTTATGGTGAGGGGGTCGGTCTAGATGTCCTTTGGAGGTCCCTTCCAGCCCAGACATTTTGTGCTCCTATTTTCACAATTTTTTTTTTCTTTCCCTTTTGTCTGCTGTAATTCATTACAAAAAAAGGTAGAATCTCTTGCAAGACAAGTTTAGAAACTGAACTTCTGATCTGCCATGACAGTGTTTAAATCCTTTCCTTCATTTCCACTTTGTCACATCACCTAATTATCAGCATACCATTTATATTTTTCCTCCAGAAAAGTGAATGTTGTAAATGAACACTTTCTGATATTAAACTTGATTGAATTATTTCAGGAAAGCTTTTCTTTTCACATAGGTACAGTACATAGACCTTGGTTGCATAGAGAGGATTCTTCCTTGTCATCTGTTTCCAACTACATTGTATACTGGTATTCCTCCATTCTGCATACCATGCCAGCTCTATAAGACAGCACCCGTGAGTAATGATAAATCTGGGACACTGTAGTAGGTGGTTACTCAGGCTGATACACTATGTAGTCATACGAAGGTTGAGACTATTTGCTGGTGTTTTTTTCTTGCCTACAAGGATTGAAAGCTGATGAGGATCATTTCAGCAAGGCAGTCTTTTTGTCAGGAACTGCCAAATTGCATTATGAAATGACCACAATTCAAAAGCAGCTGTCATTGGAATTAAATCTTTGTGAGACAGGACACTGCAGTAGTTGGCAGTATGATAGTCTGAAGTGATAGTTCATTTGGCAACAGCAGCAAGAAGTAAGGCCTGGATTTCTTAATGCAAAATGACCAGAAAATTGTAAATCTTCAAACCCTGCAAAGTGTTTCTATCATTCTGAACTTAGCTGTGTGAAAAACAATCTGCTATGCTGAACAAGTGAATTGTTTAAGAGGTCTTTGTTAGTAAGTGATACATAAATATCTTTGTGAATCATAGAATCATTTAGCTGTGAAGTGACCTTAAGATCCTCGAGTCCAGCTGTTAATCCAGCACTGCCAGGTCGTATCATCGCATCTTACTCAAATTTGAGTGGTGCATTTAGTAAATATGACTACTGAAATGACTACCTTACTTTTAAACTTAGTTTTCAAGAAAACTGTTTTGTTGCTGGAAGCAGTTCAAATGATAGATACGTGTTGGGAAGCAAGGAGATACTGCAGGGAATAGGAGAATTATTTAAAATATCTTGTGTTTTCTGCTAAGTTGTCTTTGAGTTTAATTCTGTACCTTTGGGTTTTGCTTCATCTAATTGTGCACACACACATTATTGTGTACACAGTGAAAGTTGGACTGGGCAAGTAGCATCTCTTTCTGAGCCACTTCAGTGTCTGAAAGTTGCTGCTCAGCTTTGTCACGCAGTAGTTTTGAGTGTACCAAAGAACAGATAATGTTGAAACCCTTCTAGAAGACAGATCAAATTAGTGTGTGTGTGTGTGTTCTCAAGTAAGTTTTTAGATGGTATTCATGTATTTTCATCTTACTACATTAAGAACAGTAAGAGCATTACTTGTCAGCATCTTAATGTTGGGGGGGTTTCTTGCTTTTCACCAAATAGATCGGAAATTTGTGGCAGCAGGATGCAGTAGATTGCCTTCAACATCTCCTTATAAATGAAGAGGTTGAAATACATGTTCAGGTAACTTAATTTATTCGTAGATGTGGAATAAGGCTTACTTTTGTTCCTCTGGGGTTTTATTTCTTTTAACTTGCACTAAGAATAGCAGGTGAAGGAGTATAGCGGTAAATACATTTCTTAGATAAAACAAAATCCAAAACTGAAGTTATTTCTCCTATGTTGTGACTTTTACTATAGTTTTCAGGTCTTAAATGTGTCCTTCAGGGGCATTAATATTTTTTGTATTGTGTGTCATCATTCTGACAAGCAAACTGCCTACCAACAGCATAAATTCTTCTAAATGAATACTTAAAGTGATTAAAATTTGGGATAATTAAGTTTGGGCATGCTTAAATTAAACATACTGACATTATAGAGAAACACATAATCCATAGTGTCTGAAAATCTGCAATTTCAGATAGTTTCATTTCTAATGATAATTTGTGAAAGAGAGGCGTTTATTGCTGAGTGAGGAAAGATGGGATGTTTCAGTGTTAGACTGAGTAGTCAGTGCTGCCATTCCAGAGATAGATCTGTTACCACTTGTGTCATGAACTGATGTTCGTAGTCATCCTTACTTGTTTCGTGTCTTTGATGAACAAATGTAGTAGATACAGGAATGGCAGGTTTGAATTTCCTGCTCCAATTCCTAAAACCTCAGTAGTGCTGTTACTGTTATAATCTTGTTTTGTCTTGTGTAAGTAGGAATTACCAGACAACCCATGGGGCAAATTGTCCATTAAGTTGTATTTTGGTGGAATATCGCTTTCTTCCTTCATGGCATATCAAAACTACTGCATTACTGAAGATTGTGAAGATATAACAGAGCTGGTGAGGTTTTTTTGTGTGTGGTTTTTTGTGTGTCTGTTGTTTTTTTGTGTGTTGTTTTGTGTATTGACACAGCTTTGTGGCTTAAGAAGTGTATACATGATGTGTTGGTAAGATAGTACAGAGTAGCAAATTGCCTGGAATTTGTTCTTGGACTCCTAACTAAAAGGAAACTTTTGCATTTCTGTTTGAAGTCAAATTAGTTTTTGTGTTCCTCTAAAACAAAACAATATGAATAGGATAATGTTTTTATCACTCGAAGGGATTAGTTAATCAGAGAAATACATCCAAGGATGGATATGTTCAGAAGTAAATTAAGTTTTTCAACATAAACCTACTGTTTTCTGAGGGAGTTGTGTGGCATATTCATGTGGTCTTCTTTAGAGGACGATTGACATTTTCACCCAGCTTCATTGTCCTAACAAAAAAAAAGTAGATCTGTAATTTTTCTGTATGTTTCTTCCTTGAAATCTGAGGATCAGTGTTATTTAATTTACAAAGGCTTTGTCATTGCTTTTTTCTCTTAATTCTGTTTAAGCCTGCCAATGTATTTTTCTTTCCAACATGAGTCTCTGCATCAGAAAATCGTTTTACAATATGGAGTATGCGGCTGTCATGGCTGATCCAAGGCCTGGCATGTGTGCCAATGGGCTTGTGGTGCCCTAGAAAAATCTCTCCATGTGTATTAGAACCAAGTGACCATTTACCCAACTGTAAATCAGTCTCTTGTTGCATTTTCATAAAGTCAGCACGTGGTGCACAACTTTCAGCAAGCTGATCATGGATCTTGAAATGAGATTGTACCCTTAAAACAAAAATGAAATTTGGAAAACAAAAATAAAGCCATGTAAGAAGGTTGTAAGCAAGAAGCGAGAAGCATTGAGAAAGCCTGAAATGCATTCCACAAGGAATATAGCATTAAGCAAATCCAGTTTTTAAGAAAATGAGTATCAGAGATGTTCAGTTGTGGACCCAAAAACAAGGAAGGTGTCCAGAGCTGGAGCTGATACCAGGAGCCTGGGGAATAGCAGAAGAGGGAAGCGTGCAGTTGTGAGAGTATTCAGGTGTTGTTTGTGTGCATACACATGCATGCACTTGATTACCTATCTATGTAAAACTATTATACAGTGGTATTTTTTGATTTGACTTTTTGGGAGATGGGTTTGGTTGTTAATTGTTTTTGTTTCTCTACCACTGTGAATCGATGCAGAGTAGCCAGGTGCTGCCTTCTGCCCATATTCTCAGGGACTGTGCTTTGGGGACTATGACCTTGTTTCGTTTGACAGACAAATTTTTAATCTCTTCCTTCTGAGCTCAGGTTTAAGTATCAATTTTTAGAATTCCTTTTTCTACAGTAGTTGTCTACAAACCATTTCCAACCATATGAACCAAAATCAGTTCAGAATTCCTTTTACAGACTATTTTTGCACTTAACTACATTGCATATTAACCCCTTTACAGTGAGGTACTTGAAGTCTGCCAATTTGAAGATCATAATCTGAGCAGACACTTGGCCAGACTGTTCCATCTTAATCCATTCCTTGAAATGTCAGTGCTTGTTCTTTGGCATAGTCCATCAGTTAGGTCAGAGGAGAGATGGGCTTCAAACTGTTGTTGACATACTACAAACATACATACTGAGACAGTGTGTATTTCTTCTTCATATAATCTGTTATCTTGCTGAAGGAGTGATAACTCTGGTGGCTGAGGAGTTAAATTATTCTTTGCCTTTCTCTCAAGGGCTAACTTGCCCTGGCAAACTACAGTAACATGGGGCATGCCATTTAGGTTAATCTGTGCTTAGTTTTTCTTTCTAAATATTTTCTCTTTTTAAAGAGAAATCTGTATTTAATGCATTTTTGAATTAACAGCAATCAAGTTAGCAAGTCAATATGTTAGGACCATTTCAAAGATAGATTCTTTATGTTTCAAAACTGTTAAATTAACTAGTTCTGTTATCTTCTAGCTAAAGGGTTTTTTTAAAAAAAAAAAAAAAAACAACTCATAAGTATTGAAAGGAAATGTTAATATTTTATTCATAAGGACACACTGTTTACATTATTAGAAAACTCATTTGAACCAGAAATTGTACTGAAGCTAGTTATGGAAACTAAATGGTTTGTAACTGATTATGATGCTTGACTAAAGTCTGTCTTGGTCTAGGGGCTGCTTGAAAGAGAAATTCCTGCTTTGCCTTCATACGCATTGCCATCGCTACCTGTCCCAGGAGATACCTTTCCTGTCAGAGTTACCCATTTGGTGTCCCCTAAGGAGGTATGTTCTTTAAATATCTCATAACACATCACATCTGCTGCAGACAGGAAATGCTGCAGTCCCATCATGGAGGTGAAAAGGAAATCATGGCTTACAATTTCAGATAACAGAAAAAAGTATTAGTAAGGTTGCAAAATGCTACTGAGCTGTTGATGCAGATGGTTGTGCACTGCAGCTATCTGAATGAACTCTCAACTTGAAACATCCTCTTGGGTAGGGGCAGAGGAATAAATACTGAGTACTCCCCAAAAAAATTAATTTTAGCAATTACAATGCTGCAGTCTGGTACTTACCTTCTATAATAAGAACACAGGTCACTGGATTTTAACTTGTCAGCACAGTAGCGATTTGTCTCTTTTTTATTCTCCAAAAATTAAATTACTGAAGTGTTATATAGTGATTTGAATATTTTCTGGCTGTTACAGTTCTGTTTTACTGTCTTGGGTCAATGATTGATGATTGACTTTTGTGTGAACACACGCAGCTTCTCTGTAGTATTCTCCCAGGCAAAAGACAGAATATAATGTTCATTGATCAAATAAAAGATTCCTATGTGGATGGTGACAAAGTTGCAACAAGAAGTCTGAGGGCAATCAAGAGACACTTCAGGGCCTTGGGACAGCTGGTTAAGGGGTCAGGAGCACAAGTAGTGTTCTCCTCCATCCTTCCAATTGCAGGGAATAATGAGGAAAGAAAGAGGAAGAGCCAGCAGATTAATACCTGCCTCCAAGCATGATGTCACCAGTAGAATTTGGGGGTTTTTGATCATGAGTTGGTCTACACAACAGCAGGCCTGCTGGCAGCAGACAGGGCACACCTCTCTCAAAAGAGGAAAAGGATCTTTGCACATAAGTTGGCAGAGCTTTAAACTAGATAGGAAGGGAAGAAAGGAATAACACCAGGCTTACTAGAATTAAGCCTGGGGGCAGCACACTAGCATTTGAGGGACGCTGTGGTAGCAAGGTCCTTCAGTCTGCTGTCTCAGTGGAGACAGGGGATGGAGATCCATGTGGCAGCAAAGACACAAGGGTTACTGATGTGTTGGAAACCACAGAAGCGCCTGGGAATGGTCACATAGGAATTAGGGCTTCTCTCCCCAAAATGTTCACGGGATCAGTAGCCCAGTACTGAAGTACATCTGCACCAATGCACACAGAATGGGAAACAAACAGGAGGATCTGGAAGCTGTTGTATAGCATGAAAATTGATAAGAGTTGCCATCATGAAAACATGGTGGGTTGACTTGCACAAGTGGAGCACTGAAGTGGATGGCTATAAACTCTTCAGAAGGGGTTGGCTAAGAAGGAGAAGCAGTGGAGTGGCCCTAGATGTTAGGGAGTGTTTTGACTGTCCAGAGCTTGATGATGGTGATGATAGCTGCCCCTCTACTCTGCCCTGGCGAGACCTCACCTGGAGTCCTGTGTCCAGCTCTGGAGCCCCCAACACAAGAAGGACTTGTACCTGTCGTAGTATGTCCAGAGGAGAGCCACAAAAATGATCCGAGGGCGTGAGCAGCTCTTCTATGAGGACAGGCTGAGGGAGTTGGGGTTGTTCAGCCTGGAGAAGAGGAGGCTTCAGGGGGACCTTCCAGTGACCTTATAGCAACCTTCCAGTGACCTTATAGCGACCTTCCGGTACCTGAAAGGGGCCTTTAAGAAAGCAGGGGAGGGTCTGTTCACAAGGGTTTGTAGTGACAGGATGAGGTGTAATGGCTTTAAGCTAGAAAAGGGGAGATTTCTACCTGGTGGAAACAACTTTGAGGGTTCTGGTCGGTAGCTGGCTGAATATGAGCCATCCATGTGCCCAGGTGGCCAAGGAGGCCAACAGCATCCTGGGTTGCATCAGAAATAGTGTGACCAGCAGGACTGGGGAAATGACTGTCCCTTTGTACCCCGCACTGGTGAGGCCACACGTTGAACACCGTGTTCAGTTCTGGGCCCCTCACTGCAAGGATGCTGAGGAGCTGGGGAGTGTCCAAAGAAGGGCAGTGAAGCTGGGGAAGGGTCTAGAGCACAAGTCTTAGGAGGAGCGGATGAGGGAACTGGGGCTGTTTAGCCTGGAGAAAAGGCTCTGAGGAGACCTTATCACTTTCTACAACTACCTGAAAGGAGGCTGTAGAGAGATGGGGGTGTTCGCCAAGTAATAAGTTATAGGACAAGAGGAAATGGCCCCAAGTTGTGCCAGGGGAGGTTTAGGTTGGATATTGGGAAAAATTTCTTCACTGAAGGTGTTGTCAAGCACTGGAACAGGCTGCCTGGGGAAGTTTGTGGAGTTGCCATCCTTGGAGGTGTCTAGAAGATGTGTAGATGCAGTGCTTAGGGATGTGGTTTAATGGTGGACTTGGCCTTGTTAGATATAAGGGCTTGTTGAGCTTAAAGTTCTTTTCCAACCTAAGTGACTGTAGGATTCTATAGTAAATGACTATGTGGCTAAAAACACGATGGAAGTGTTTGGGTATCGTACAGAAGAGCTCTCTTAGATTACGTACTCTGCTTCCTGTCTTACAGGAAAAAGAGTACAATTATTTTTGGGTTCCTTTTGTGCAAATGAGTTGAACTTTTGCTTTGGATTATGGTATATAATTGTAAACAGGAAATCCTGCTGTGGACTCCTGTAGATTTAAGTACCATTTGCATGATGGATTTACAGCTTGATTATATTGTGTACAAATTAGAAAATGAAAATTAATTTTCTTCCTGGATAGTGAATTATAATGATGAGTTTAGAAAAAATAATAACCTACTCATTCATTTATTTTGGACTACCAGTAGGACATCATGATGTTAGGAAATGGCTCTGGTTTGTTTTGTTTGTTTGTTTTTTTAAAAAAGGCATTTCAGGTAGAATCTGTTATGTAGATACTAACTCACCTATGCATGCTTTTTAAATTTCTGTTTCCTTGACCTACAGCACTATACCGATTACCCAGTTGCAAATTTGGTGAATGGAATGTCTTTGCATAGCAAACAAAACACCATTTCAAAAGTTCTTATTTCATTAACTTTAAAATTAATCCTTGGTTTGATACTATGAAATGGGATTACTTACCAGGGATCTGGAGGGAGGAATCCTGTTAAGGCACAACTGTGAAATCTTGTATGGGACCATTCTCTAGTGTGTGCGTTCCTTTCGCTCTTACTTTTTAACATTGAAATGCAGTGTTAATAAATCAGGACTCTTCTGCTTTGAGAAAAAAATTGTGTAAATATGAAATTATTCATAAATTGAGGAAAGAACCAAGAGAAGCAAGGATGTGCTGAACCTTCTGAAGATGGGAACAAGTTATCTTGTATTAATCCGTGGTGACTGGTGGAATTTGAAAGGTCTAAGTCATTTGCAAATATCATGATATGAAAGCCTTGTCTTTGAGTAGGTATATATTTGCCTTGATCCTCCTAAGAACCTTGTGCAGCAGTCTGCCACAGAGGGAGCTGCCAGCTGTGATTTGGAGTTGGAGGGCCTTGATGAAGCCCTGATGTCATGCAATAGAAGTGTGGAGACTATTCCTCTTCTAACACACTTCCAAACAGGTATATTACAGTTTATTTTCACCGTTGTTTCATAGGAGTGTACGAAAAATCCTGGAATTCTTTTGAAGAACAAGAATAATTATCTTTGTATGTATCTTTAAATAAAACTGTTGGATTGTAAGGAGTAACACTACACTATGATCATACAACATGCTATAATCATGTAGGTTTAATTTGCATAAAATGGAGATTCTTCTGTCACTCATCTCCACTGGAAAATGATGGAAAGAACTCAGATTCCTAATGCCTGTTAAAGCTGATGAACAAAGTTTAGATTGCATACAGCCATAATAAAACCTGTCGCAAAAGGGGACTCACTGACGCTGTAATGGTGAAAATCTTGCTATTAACTATTCAAAAGACAAGTTACAGAAAACCATGTTACTAAGAGTTAGAAATTATGTAAACCCTGAAGAGTATCACTTCACTTTAATATTGGATCTCTCCATTTAGGCAAAAGATGAACTTTAATTCTCCTCTCCTCAGCTGTTTGGCCTGAAATAATTTGAAGTGTGTGGGTCTAAAACTTTGTGAGGAAACCAGTTAGTACGAGTAGTTGGTTCCACCAGCTAGTAAAATTCTGACTGAGGTTTCCAGCAGCTTCTGCCATGTGTCCTCTAGAACATTGTCTGTTATCTTACAGATCAATCTGTTTACCAAGTGAAATATGCAGTTAAAGTTGAAAAGTTCAAATGCTGAACAGTTTGCATCACTATCTTTACCAAGCAACTTTCTGATAATTGTCATCATTGCCATGTGAGGTAGAGGAACTTTATCTAAATTACGTACTAACTATTTTGAGTTGGATTTCAGAGAGAAGTGGAGGATGCATAGAACAAAAGAGTAGCATGAACTAGAGAAGGAAGAAAAAAAACTTCATCTCGTTCACAATGCAAAACAGATTTTCAAGTTCAGTTACTTTATACTGCACTGTGAGTCTATTGTTGGGTGTTTTGTTTTCTTTTTTTGTTTTCTTTTTACAGACATGCCATGCCTTGTAGAGTACCAGGATGGTTTATGGTACAGAGCAAAGCTCCTCTCCATTGCAAAATTTGACCCTGTTCAGGTCCTGGTTCAGTTTGTTGACTATGGTAGTTTTTCAGTTGTCCCAACAAGCAGGTAAATATATAAGAAAAAAATGCATGTATCATGTCTCTGTATGTGTGTTAATGTATACACCTACATTACAAAATATGTACTTAAAAGTAAGTGTATTTTAAAATGTGTTATTATTAATTTTATGTAACAATAGATATTGAGAATAATGTAGCATTAGATTTCAGTTGGAGAGAAAGTAGGTTGGCTGGTCAAATAATTTCTGTCTGCAGGGAATGAAGTAAAACCTGACAAAGAGAAGCAGCTGCACAACTACTATAATTATAGTATCAGATTTCTTAATCATGATCACGTTACTTAAACTGTGAAGTAGATTCAGGCTTCCAATCTGCTTTCGCACCCAAGAAGCTTACACAAAATAGTGATGGAGCCCTTCAGGTGCACAAACAAATCCTCTGGCACTGTGTGACTGCCACCTGCACAGGAGATGGCTTCCAGCTGTCTCAGACTGAGTGTTCTCTGTCTCAGTGTGTTTGTGTATGTGTGTATGAAGCACTTTCACTTTTTATGTGTGTGTGTATATGTATAAACACACACACGCACTGCCTAATCACTTTGACTTTCTTGAGCTCACGGGGGAATCTCCAGGTCCTTGCTGAAGATGAGGTAAAGTGGGGATTTTAACAGATCTCCTGCTTCACAGACTGTTCGGGTCACAGGAGCGAGTGCATGTTTTATTTCAGGGTTGCACTTCCTGCTCTGCTTCCCCATTCCCTTGTGTCTGGGACAGAAATACAGAATAAAGTTGATAATATAAAACTGTGGTCTTTGGCATTTTTCAGACACACCAGATTTGGAGCCTGTGTTGGGATGACTTGCACTTTCATTCCCATGCTCAGATCTTGTGACTTCTCACCAAGCGTTGCAGTGGGGAGCGGTGGTGGGCTGAGGGGTCTGTGGGGTGCTGGCCTGCTTCCTGGTGGTTACTGTGCTGAAGTCCATCCGAGGGCCTAGCCCTGCCTGGTGAATGGTTCAGTCTGACACCAACATGGTGTAGCGCAGAGGCCCTGAGCCCAGTTCCCACACCAGACATCTGCTGCAGGAACCATTAAGCTATCCGTATGTCCATACTGACAGTTCAGCTTGACAGGGGGATTGCTGGAGGCAAACATTTTTCATTTTTGTTTCAGATTACGTCACATACCCTATTACCTGCTGAAGTATCCTGTTCAGGCAGTGCGGGCTCTGTTGACTGGATTTAAACCTGCCGTATATGACAGAAATGTCCAAAGAATTCCTTATTCCCCAGAATGGAGTCTGGAAGCACTGTGGGCTATGATGGAGTGTATTGAAGGAAAACAGCTCTCTGCTTCCATACGTGTGAGAAACACTTTCTATTCTCCTAGTGCTCACTCAGCCTAAAACTCTTAATAGCACTCTGAGTGTAATGTATTTGTTTTACTGTGAATCATCATAATGGAAAATTGTGAACCATTTGCCATTGAAGGAATGCTCATGAAGAGGGAAAATCACACAGTAGTCTTTACTTACTTGCAAACAAAAAGTTTCTGAGCATTCCTGTTATTTTTAAAGCAGTTTCCTTAACACCAGTAATATTTGTTGTAGAATAACAGCTCCATTTAGGCACTGAGTATAGCAAATAAACTAACTTTTACTATTAGTTAGCTTGAGCTTTAAATCTGTTACTGTCAAAACTGTGAACTTCTGGTTTTCAGGCTCTTTCACCAGACATCACCATTTCTTTGTATGAAGATGATAAAAATCTAGTTCATATGAAACTGATAGAAATGGGACTTGCAGATTTGGATGAGTGACATGTAAGTACAGTGAATATGAACTACAAATTCATACTGTTATAAAGGTACAATTTCAGAAGTTGGAAGCAAAGTCTAAACTGTCAGTAATGTTGACAACTAGAGTTCATTGTTTTTTAAAAGTGTCCTTCTGTCCACACTTCCACTTCGAATTTTTTAACAGCATTTTATGTTATTACATTTCTTCTCATACGCATTACTGATGCCCACAGTATAGCTTTAGGAACTAACAGGCACTGACACAGAGCCCCAAGGCAATATAACAGTTAGAGCTTCTGCTGCTTGTAGTAACTGAAGAAAATTACATGATGTGTGGCAGTGTGGTCAAATTAATCAAATTGTTTTTCCTTATTTTCAGCACTTGATCTGTGTCCTGTGCCAGATGTTTGCAGACAGATCCATGATAACATCTAGACAAAGCTGGAATATTTTAAATTAAAATCTTTACAGGATGTGTTGTCTACATAGAATATTGGAGACTTGTATTTTCAAATTTCTTGGCTAGCTCTGTTAAGTAGTCATTTTCCCTTCCATTTAATAAGCACTCTTCTAATTGATGTTTATATATAATATTCAAAACTTGTTTGAATCTTGAAATAGTGAAACTGTATTTTCACAGCTCAGTCTCTTGCCCTTAGAGCCTGAAGTATTGTTCTGTGTTATCCTTTACATAGAGTAGATGGAATTAATGTGTAGAGAGTAAGGAGACAGATAAACGGTTGTTGCCAAGTACACTATTTCTATTACCTCGTTAGAAGACTTGAAGGGGAGATGATAATTCTGTTACTGTGATGTAACTCTCGTTTTTCAGGCATAGTTGGTAATAGACTTCTCCAGGTTTAGAGTCTGGAATTGCAAGTGAACAGCTGGGGGGAGGGAAGCGTTGCTGTCTTTGTTCTGGAACATGTTTGCACTGTTGCTGTTTTCTGTTTTCAGTCACGAGGAGAGGGAGGTGTTGTGGGTGTCCTTGCATCTCCCTCCTACTCCTGGAGCTTTAGTGTTCATTTGAAAGTGTTGGAATAAACAGGAGCTTGTTAAGCATGCATCTGAAAGCTTGTTTTCCTTTACTGCTATAATCTGCAAAATTTCTTTGGCTGTTGTAGTGTGCTAGTGTATCCTATCCTTCACATTCAAAGCTCAGCCCTCCTTTTCCAGCCTCCCCAGAGAGAATTTTGTCTAGATTATCAGGGAAAAAGCATGCACAGTAAAGACTCCACAGCCTCTCAGGACAGCCAGTTCTCACTACTGCAAGCTGATTTACCCCATGAGTGAAAAAGGGCACAGACACAGTAACCACAGAGTTTGCTTTTGTTGAGGAGAAAAGGTGGGGGGAAACATACAAAAGTGGAAGAAGAAAGGATCGTCTACTGTGTAAGAGAGGGGAGCAACATTTTCAGCAGCCGCTATAGGGGGAGTTAGAACAGACACTCCAGCAGTAGCACTTTGCTCATGGATACCACAGAATTTTAAGACAACTCATTTTAAAAATACCTGTTAGGTGGCAAAATTGGATTGGATGACCTTTAGTTGATTTCTGGTGTTTCATCCCACATTTCTAAGTAGCTTGGAGCATTAACCTGTCCCCCAGTCTCACCTGTCTCACCCTTATAAATATAGAAGAGCAGTTCAAAAGACCACCATCTGTTCTGTAATGGTCTTGTCTCCTAACCATAAGATGAAGGATAAGACTTGGGAAAGAACAGCCTAAGGCTAACTGAAAAGGAATCCTGCCATTCATTTACTCTTAAATCAAGCAATAAACTGACACCTGGACTCTTGCATCTGGCCTTCTGCTGTCTTCCACCGCAGCACAGGTTCCAGCAGCAATAACTTTTACCTTGGATTAAAGAATCTTTTTTCGTGTCTAAAATATGGTAATCTACAGCTCTTTGAAGAATTTTCACTGACAGCACTGAGAATTTTTTTCAAATGCCCTTTAAACTATACATGACAATAGTGAATCAAACTGCTGCTTAAAAGTAGAAATGGGGGGAAGAAAAAAAGCAGAGAAAGCTTGGATGTATTAACACCCAGTGAAAAATAAAATTTATTTCAGAAAAACTATAAACAATATATACACAAGTTTAAAGGGGTTTCTCTTGTTTACAGGAATGTACATTATTTTTGCTGATGTACTAGCACTTCCAACAGTGTCACTACTGCCTATACCTTGGTGTCCAGGATCACGTTACCGTCCTTGTCCTTCACTCTCACTCGCCCAGAGACATACTTGGTTTCCTGCTGCCCATCCACGTACACGGTCTTGACCGTGCCATCCGGATACTCCCGTCTCTTGAACTGGGATGTGTGCAGTTCTCTCTGGCCATTATTGAACTCTATCATTTTGCTTCCATCTCTGCATTAAACACAAGTATTTTATTTTAAAGATCATTTTAAGGACTACACATAGGCTTAAGTTTAATTTCAGAAAAAAACATTTAACATGCAAGCCTAAAGGAAGGGAGGCCTTAAAAAATACAGTATTTGTGAAAAAAACATTTTGTTAAATATCAGCCCAGGTGGCTGGTACTCAAAAAACCTGGGGTTCTGCAAAATTCACGTAAACTTCTTTGTACTGGAGAGCCTCTGCCACACTTTCTCTACACTAAATCTATTGCTGCAATGAAAAAAAGAGTCCAGGAAAAGTTCAGAGCTTCATATTTCGAGCACTATGTTACCAGCCGTCAGCCGGACCCACCTGCCACACCAGCCAGGTTCCGACGCGCTCCCTGCAGCTGGGCGCAAACAAAACAAGTCCCTCGCGTTAAGGTATGCCAAAATACACACAGGCTTTCGGCCTTCACCTGTCCTCCAGGCTACCAGAAGCGCCCACATATGTAGATACAATGCTTCAAACAGTAAATACATGGTCACAGCACAGTAGGTGCACGTGTAAACTTGTAGAAGTTCAGCTGCCTCCATCAGCAGCCCCGCCTGCTCCTCCCTCCCCGTAAGGTGCAGCTTACCGCTGGACGCGAACAATAGTGCCATCCGGAAAGATACTTTCTTCCTGCCCATCCACAAATAAGTTCTTAATAGTTTGATCAGGGAAGGTAATCTCTTTCTTGCCATCAGGATAATGCTTCTCTGAAATGTATTATGAGACAATATGCTTATTATATAAATACAGGGGGGTGGGGGTGTGGGTGTGTATATATATATATACACATGTATGTAGGCAGAAATTTTGAGGGTTAGTTGGACTTCTTTACCTATTTGTCCATTTGAAAACTGCAAGACCTCTAAGCCATCAGCATATGTAGTATGTGTAGTCTTAGCATCAGCATAATAGTAAATCTGGAGAAAATAGTTCAGATTTAACATAACTAGTGAGATATTCTTTGTGTGTGTGTCTATGTACACGTATTTATAGAAGGATTCAGAAGGCATAGCTTACATACCACTGTTTGATCAGGCATAACCTGCTTCACATCCCCATTGAAGAAGGTTATAGTTAAAGTCTTCCCATCAGAACCCACTTTTTTCCATGTCCCATTGGGAAAAAATACGAGGTGACAGCCATTCTTCAAAACCTTTTCAACCTAACAAAGCCGTTACAGAGAGGTAAGTATTGAGCTATCCCCAGCCACATTCCTCTTTCACAACAGCTGTCCTGTGGAATTTCAGAGTGCTGAGCTCTCACTTTACCTTTCCATCAGGATAAGCAGTTTCTCTCTCTATCTCTTCACTGTCTGTATATGCAGGTCCAGATGGTACCAAAACATGAGCTTCATTAGGAGACGTGTCCTGAAAGGACAACAATAACCTAAGCATCAACTCAAATCATATACATGTCTTTCCCAAAATACCTGTCAGCCTAGAAAAAACAAGGAACATCAGGGGAGAAAGACAAGAACAGGAAGGCAAAAAAGCAGTCTGGGTTTTACACAACTCCTAGTAACTCAAGTGGTAAGGCAAACAGAGGCTCAGCAATAATTGGTTGTCTGTTGTTGGTGCTGTTCTGGACTGAAGTGGAACTCAGTGGTGTGTTATAGCGTGGTACTCAGCTGCTTTAAGTCATCCGTATCAAGGCATGGAGCGATTAATGAGGTTCCATAAAGCTTGAATTCTACCTCAGCAATTAATGTAAGAATTAATTCAACTGTTTACAAGGTGCTTGCACGGTTGCCCTGTGTGGAGCATATAAGCATTCATCTTTTTCCCCCCCCTCTCATAAGGTAAAATATTTTGCAAAATTTAAGGGAGCAGGAAATTATTTTGTTTTCTTTCTTCAGCCAGAGAATGCTGCATTACTGGACAGAGGTAAAACACTATTGCCTAGTTTTACTAGAGGTAAAACACTATTTCTGGTATGACAATAAAAGTCTAGTTGAAGAGCATAAGAAGGTAAGTCAACAACTCCACCAGTCACCCTTCAGATACTCACTTAAGTGCAATTGTTTTATTTTGTGCTTTTTCCTCCCCCTTAAAAATCAAGGTAACTTACTACCATAAAAGTCCTAGAAGAATCTTCTAGTGCTGGCATTGTCTCAGAGTTGCCTCTGTCACTAGCAGGTCCTGATGCAGGTGTTCTAGAAGGCTTTCCTACTCAGATACATGTAATACAGTTAATTTGGACAGTCAAAAGTACAGTTTTAATTGTGATATATGAGGTCAAGCTGTATAGGACACCTACGTTTAAGAGCAGCAGCAACTGAAAGCAGCACATTAATGAAAAGAATCAGCATAAGCCAGCTCCCTCAGGTATGTCATGGCTTCACGTGTCAGCAAGAAGCTACAACTGAAGAACCACTGCAACAGGTGTAATACTTGCACTTTCTCTCCTATTTTATCTCTGCAGATTTTAAAAGGGTTTTTTTTCCCTGCTCTTGGGACCTAGACATTATTTCTTGTGCCTTACAAATGAATAAAGGAAGTCTACTGCAGCCTTCTAACAGGAACCGGTTGGCAGAGTTTTCCCATGTCTCCCCTAGCACACCAGAAAGACTACCAAATAAACCCAGCAAGGACTTCACTTGTGGAACATACTCCCCTAACAGATAACAGGATGGTTGCTTGAGCTGTCAGCCGTGTCCAAAAAAAGTACCCTCCAGTTCCTTTCTGCATGCAACTGTTCATTAGGAAGGGGTATAGCTGCCAACAGCTCCTAACTGTGAACAAGAAACACCTGCTATGGCACAGCCCATGATTACAGATCCTGGTAGCAGAAGGTTCTGGAGAGACACAGCAGCTCCAGGGCTATTAACGAAGTCATCTAATCGACATCTGCACCTTGAAGAACATCAATGATAAATGCCATTTTGGATTGCACAAGCTTCTGGTAAGCTTCAGACCACCAAGCATCACCAGAAGCACTTTCACTCCAAGAATGGTCTCATCACAGCTTTCTCCCAAATCTTACCCTGCAAGGTATTTATTCCTATGCTCAAGTCCATTACAGCTGTTCTCTATCTGCTTTTGAGGTGGTGATGAGCTCTTTAATACAAGCAAAAAATCCACATTAATTTTCTTTTGAATAATTAACAGAAATTCTCCAATTCAAAACATACCTTTTGCCTGTGAATAAATTTTGCCATTTATCCTGCTGTACTTCTGTACTGGAAGGGGTGGAGATACAAACTGACTTTTTGGGCCTGTCTTTGGTAGACACTGAAAGAAAGGAAGTTCTTGTGGATTTTTATGGATTTATTCATTACTGTTCATACAACGGCAACTAAACTTCTGCACCATGTGATATGGAATTTACTGGATGCTTTCTTCACAAACTATGCATTTTTGAGACAGTCAGCAGAAGGGTTTGTGTGATGTAACCCAAGCTATACTTCAGAACCCTTCCTCTGCCTGCTGCCTCTCTACCAGCAACTGCAGAACATTAAACTGGTGCAAGCAATCCAGAATAATAGTTACAGTTTCAACCCCAAATATAACCACTTTAGACAACAATGAACTGCCTAACTGGGAAGGAGGAGGGAAGTCTACACA